ATATTCTGTCCTGCTACCTTTTCAAAAAGAACATTTTTCAACTCAATCTCCTGTAAAGTAAGGCACAAGATGTAGATTTCTACTTAATCAAATCCCTATGGATCAGAATCATCCTCTGAGCTACCACTACTTCTTTCTTCCTTTAGACTACTTATGTTGCCTACCTTCTTGAAATTTAACCATTTTAAATTCAATTCCCTTTTTTTCCTCCCTTCCATCTTACTTTCCATCCCTCTCTCCTCACTCTTGAATGAAGCTTTATTTTCAACACTCTCCTCTCCCTATTGTTCTTTTCTTGTCTTTTCTTTTCAAGCCTTTTCAATTCACTTTCAGGTATTTCACAAGTCAGGTATTTTTCATAGATAGTAGGAACTGCAGATGCTGGAAAATCTGAGATAACAAGGTGTAGAGCTGGATGAACATAGCAGGCCAAGCAGCATCAGAGGAGCAGGAAAGCTTTTCGGGCCTATTTTTCATTTCTGGTTTAATTTTAAATAGTTCTAGCAATGACACATCCAGTTCACGGCTCACTCCTAATTCTAAATGCTCATAATCACTAACATGATTTTAATTTTATTTGTCTGCTCAACATACCTGGTTTTTCAGTTTACTCATACTCAAAGAGTTCAAATAATCAAGTGTTACATTTTCCACCAGAAAGGTTTGTGCAACCCTCAAAGCCAACACACCACTCCTGATTTCAGTCCAGGACTGTCACATATCTGTTTATTTCAAAGAGGCACAATACTCAAATTTGATAAATTCTGACAGCAGAAGAACATCCACTGTTTTATGATGCACAATGATGGCAATGCTGCAAGTCAGATCCTGGAATGAAATCTGGCTTAATTTTTGAAATACTGATTGGTCATGGATGCATATACATGAGGGTACACTTGTTTATTACACAAAAGGAAAACCAAAATAGCCTTACATAGAAAACAGAATGATCTAACACAAACATTAAAAGAAAAACTTGCTTTCCAATGCCATCCATTAAAGACTTAATCCCAGAGACATATCACTCCCGGCTCGGCTTTTTAAATCAGTAATTAACTAAGCCCTTTCCAGTTTCTCTTCACTTGGACTGCTGCAATTGTTTTTATTTATGATTCCTTTTCACATCCATAATATGAATCTCCAAATTCTGATTGCTTAAACATATTAAGTTCTAGCAGAGATAGCAAGAACTGTAGATGCTGGAGTCGGAGCCAACAATGTGGAGCTGGAGGAACGCAGCAGGTCAGGCAACATCAGAGGAACAGGAAAGTTGACGTTTTGGGTCAGGAACCTTCTTCAGAACTTGGTACTGAGAAACGATATGTGGCTGTAGTAACGGATTTGTCTCATTATGTGGTCGAAGATCACCAGTGGGTTGGAGTGGGAGAGAGATCTACTGAGGCCTTTCTGAGGGAGGAGGACAACTTCTTCAAGGTGGGCATCCTTTGCAGTAGGGTTTTAAACCACTCAGAGTTGGCAAGAACTGTAGATACTGGAGTCAGAGTCAACACAGTGTGGAGCTAGAGGAACACAGCAGGCCAAGCAGCATCAGAGGAGCAGGAAAACTGATGTTTCGGGCATAAGCCCCAACGTTGACTTTTGTGTTCCTCTGATACTGCCTGACCTGCTGTTTTCCTCCAGCTCCACACTGTGTTGACTTCACATCTAGCAACTTGAAGATTTTTATTCAAACTCTCTTGGCTTGCAAATTCTACAAACTAGTCACATCTGCCGAGTGACTGGTTGCCCTAAATTCACTGATTGCCCATTTGAAACAGAGAGAGGGTATTTGTTTGCTTGGACGTTGAGTCTTTGCAACTTGCTTTCTCAAAAGATGGTGGAAGCAGAGTCTGTGAACATTTTAAACAGCTACGTTTTTGAGAAATAAGGGCTGAAAAGTCATCAAAGGTAGGCAGGGATGTGGGGTAATCAGGTCAGGCACAAACTTAATGAATGGCAGTGCAGCCTGGGAAAACAAATGGCCGATAGCTGCTCCTAAATTTGTATCTGTTTTCTATGAAAATGTGAACAACTCCAGCTTCCTGAATACCACAGTAACATTAACCAGGGTGCAGTAACCCGTCTTTTCAGTTTGAGCATATTTGTACACTTGGTTGAATTTTAAATTTCTATTCCGATTCATTATATATCCAACCAGCGGGTCACTTGTAGTACCTTTCAAAGTCTGCATAGAGAGGATTTCTCACTCTGTAATATTGCATGCATGCCTGAGAAACAGCATCTGGGTGCGTAGATGTAGGTGTAAAGAGACAAACACTGCGAACAGCCTGCAGAAATAATTTTCTTGAGAAATTTCATGAATAATTTAGATAAACATAGAAAGAACAATTGAAACTTGGGAAGTAGTGATGGTCTGTTCTAACTATTTTGTTTACGGAGGTGGATAGGCAAGTTGTGAAATGATAGGTTTGAGGTATGAGGAAATGTTAACAGTACTTTTCACAGTAAGGTGAAAGGATCTGTATATTTGGTAATAGTGATTGAGTGTCATGGTAACAATGCCTAAATAGGAGTGTATGGTATCCAGACAAGTAGCTTGCTTTAAAGATTTCTCAGGAGCTCCTTTTAAATGTAAAGGCATGACACAAGCCTCCTCCTAGACAACTTCATTTACCCCTATCTGCATATTGTTCTATTCATTTCTCTCTTGTACTTAGCCAAATTTCCCTTAAAAGGTGTTAAAAATGGACTATTCTCTCATAGATTGCACAATGTTATCATTTTCCCTTTAAAATGTTTGCAATAGCCATTGGTCCGTGCATCGTTTTGCTCTTACTGACCTTGAAAATCAGAAATTATAATTTAAAAATATACAGTGGCAGTGTATTAAGTTTTACACATCTCACCAGTAGTGTCTCACACTAAATGGGGAACAGCTATGTTCCTTGCGTAGGTTGTTTCTTTGATCAAGGCCACAGGATACTGCATGAGGTAAGGCTGAATTAACAACTCACGTAGCAATTAATCACATTTAAGTCAAATGAACTGGGTGGAGCATGTAGGAAGTAGTTTTGAGTCAGGAATTTCCTCAGAGCTTTTATATTCAAATTGCATCTGAGCCTCTGCAAAAAAAAAAGGGAGGGTGGAGCAGGGAAAGTTATGAAATAATTTTCAATGTCAGTGTTTGATCTTCAGCAGTGGTATGGGCAAGGTGAACAAGGCTCAACAATTTGACTTAGAGATAGTAAGAACTGCTGATGCTGGAGTCAGAGATAACATGGTATGGAGCTGGAGGTACACAGCAGGCCAGGCAGCATCAGAGGAGCAGGAAAGCTGATGTTTCGAGTCAGGACCCTTCTTCAGAAATCCTGTGCTATCTCAACAATTTGACTGTTCCATTACGTTTCTGGTTAGCCTCATATCTTGCACTGTCCACAAACTCGAGCTCATCTAAATGTTGCTGCCCAGGTATTAACTTGTACTATTCCATCATTTGTCATCAGCTCCAATGGATGTTTTCGAGTCATAGAGTCTAGAGATATACAGCACAGAAACAGACCCTTTGGTCCAACTCATCCACGCTGACCAAATATCCTAAACAAATTGAGTCTCATTTGCCAGCATTTGACCCATATCCCTCTAAACTCTCCCTCCTCAGTTTTACTACGTGAAATATGCTTTTTTATTTATTCTCTCATCTGACGTGGGTATCCTAGCAAAGGACAGTCAGCATTTGTTGCTGAAAAACCCAGGCTAGGGCATTTCAGAAAACAGTTGGAAGTCAATCACATTGCTGCGGATCTGGAGTCACTTGTAAGCCAGACCAGGTCAGGATGGCAGATTCTGCTCTCTGAAGGACGTTAGTGAACCAGACGGCTTTTTACAAAAATTGATGCAAGTTTTACAGTCACCATTATTCAAGCTAGGTTTACAGTCCAAGTAATTTCCAATTTATTAATTGAATGTAAATTTCACGATAGGATTTGAAGCTATGTCACCAGTGCCCTTTAATACTTATTTTTTAAAGAATAATCTTATTTATTCTTGAAATGAGAAAGAATCACCGGCAAGGCAATATTATTAGCCATTCTCTAGTTACCCCAAGAACAAGCTTTGTTGACTATCTCAATTCTTTCTAGTATCCATCTTCAGCATCAGTGATGCCTCTGTTCAGTACTGAGCACATGTTACAATGCTGAAGATGTCCTCTAGAATTGACGTTAAATTGAGGCACGACTGCCCTCTCAGCTGGATGTAAAATAGTCCATAGTACTACTTGAATAAAATGTCAGAGTCCTAGCCAATATTTATCCCACAAACATCATTAAAGGGATCAGAATGTAATTTATTTAACTATCAGTAATAATTGGCTGTCATGTTTCCCTACAGTAATGGCTACGCTTCAAAGTAATTAATTGGCCACAAAGCATTTTGGACGTGTGGATATTGTGAAAGATATTGTGTGAAGCAAATTATTTCTTTCATGAGACTGTTAGAAAGCAGTTTTAATATAACTATGTGACTTTCTATGCCACATAAGGCAGCTGAGTCAACCACATTACTTAGGCTGGTAAGAATACAGCTTTCCTTCCCTGAAGGGTAATGAACCAGTCATATTTTTCAGCAGTTTTGTGGTTACCCTTATCAGCACCACATTTTATATTTTCAGCTTTTTTTCCTGAATCAAATTCTTAAAGTGATGTCAGATGTGGTTTGGTTTCAAGTTCTCACTGAAGACAAACCCTGTGCTCTTCATGGAGGTGTCTCCAATGAGTCTCATTTTCCTGCCTTTTCTTTATAGGCTACAAATTTCTTCTTCTACAGAGAAATAATAACTTGCCAAGCGTTCCTGTTATCTTTCCACACTGCCAACATTATCATCCCAATTCTGGCACTCCCTTTCCACAGGGTGGCCCCAGTACTTATAATTAGCAGGTTTCCTGGAACGAGGTGATGTTTCAAAGTCAGATTCTGCACAGAAGGTAGATTCAATTGCAGTCTGGTTTCAGTGCATGATATTTAAATGGTCTACACGTATGTTTCTTAGCAAAAGTGTGACAATTTTTAATTTCAATAAACAAATTATAAGCAAGACATTCAAATTAAACTTATGATACATAATTGAAAGGGAAGACCGCAAAACAGCAGAGCAGAAACTGGAAATTAGTTGGTCAGCAGCCAACCTCCAGAAGCCAGCTTGCCTGCCCATCTTGGCTTACAGGGGTTGATTCATCATCATTGGCAGAATTAGAAGTGACAGAATCAGCAAGGATGCAGAAATGAGAGAGCTGGTCATGTTTCAAAACTCAATCTGTCGATATCTCCTCAAACACTGGCAGCCGTCATATATCAACTTTCTTTGTTTTTATTTCACAAATCCAGTTTCCCATCAGGTATGTGGATACGGAGCTAAATTGGTTGTTGTCGATCACTACCTTTTTGATCTTATTGATCTCATTTCTTTAAACAGAAAATAACATGAGAAAATAACTTTAGACTTGTGGGGTAAAAGACAGAAAATGTTGGTAGAAAAATAAAGTCAGCATTCTGACCAGCCAAGATAAAAAGTCAACTGAGCAAGTATACATCATACATTTATTAATGAACAACCCTCTCAACTCCAAAATTGGGCACAGGGATTAAAAATAAAAATTAATTGCACTACTTGGTAAAGCATTACTAGTAAGTTTCATAAAAAATGTACAAATTTTGTTAAAAATTTATCAAGCTTTCAAATGATTTGGTTACAGATAGATTTATAATACAACATTGGAAACAACTTGTCATATTAAATGATGCAATGTGTGTATGATTTAATGAAACACTCTGAAATGAAGTCAACTGAAGTAATTTGCTTTTTCTTTCTGATTCATTAGCAATTTTAAATATATTTAAGTGGCAAAATGAGGTAAATGTACCAAAAGAGAAATCCCACGCTAAAATGTCCATTAAGACCTAAAAATGACCCAGATTTTATGTGCTTTAGGTTTTACTTCCCCCCACCCCACAGAGTTGAGACCGCTGCTGAAAAACTAGCATTCCAGCATCCAATATGACAGTGTTAAGACAATGCACCAAATAATGCTGTATACAGGACAAAATGTTTAAACTTCAGCAGTCTAGTGTCACACTCTTGGTTTCTCAATATAATGACTATAACCTGGGATATCACTAGGTCTTAGTGATTTTTGTTCACAAAATTAACAAGTTTGAAACTATCCACCAAAAACCCATGCAAAACACAAAACTTGAAGCGGGACACAATCAGTAAACTTGTGGGGTTGACCAAGACATAACAATTCTTATTGTATGTTGTTGCTTCTCTTGTATCATACGGACTGAGGGATTAAATACATAAATGCGCATTACAATTCATGGCAGTAATAGCTCAGCATGAATCCCCATTTCCACCCACATCAGACCCAGCTGGGCAGAAGCAGCCATGGCCACTATGGTCTGCTTTGATACACATGCACATGTGCTTAGTACATACTGACCACAGAAAGCAAGGTCTGCACACAACTGTTCTAGAGTCTCCATGCAAACATGAGAAACATTTCAAAAGTGATTAAGCATTAAGAGTGCAACAATTAATTTTGCCAATAACCAGACCTAACTGTTAATGCACCTCCTCTCGGCCTCAATTTACATCATTCAATTAAGTTATATGGCAGCTATTCCTCCCCAAACAAAATAAAAACTCCAATCCTGCCTCACTAAGTTTATCCTTCAGGTTGGACTTCATAAATTATGATGGCATGATGATAATTAACTACTTTGTGAAGGAGAATCATGGTCTACTTTAAGAAATAAGGCAGCACTGTTCAACCTAAATAATATCATCCAGGTAATACTATGTATGCATCTCAGTCTCAGCATTCATAGCTGTAGTACATTATAAGCACAGAAACGGATATACAGCTGCTTAAAAACATTTTAGGTGCTCACAGTATAGCAGGGAAAACAGTAATACAATGTCGGTGTACATTCTGCTTATAATGCACGGTCACGTGAAATGTCATTGTAACGCAACGTGGTATCATGCGGAAGTTGTGAGTTGTTTTTATTTGGTGCTACAGGAAACAGTTAAAGAAATCACTGATAACAAAAAGCGCTAACTTCAATTTTGTTTTCAGATACATATGAGCTCTTTCAATCAGTCTTCCATAACTATTTTCAAGGACAGATATAACATTACCCATGCTATAACTTTTCTTTAGATGAATGTATCCATTTCAACAAAGTCCCATAACTTTAGAATTCAGAATTAATTGTACATATCCACATTATTATGCTAAACAGATTGCATCATAACAATCCAGCATTTCTTAAGAAGAAAGAACTGTGGATGCTGGAAATCAGAAACGAAAACAGAAATTGCTGGAAACTCTCGGCAGGTCTGGCAGCATCTGTGCAGCGATATCAGACTTAACAGTTTGGATCCAGTGACCCTTCTTCAGAACTGATGGTAGCTAGGGAAACACTGGCTTTTACGTAGACAAGTGTGTGCGAGAGCGCGTGTGGTGTCGGGGGGGGGGGGGGGGGGGGGGGGAAAGTGGGTTGGGTGTGTGGGTGGAGCAACAAGTAAACTATAGGTGGAGATAGACCCCAAAGAGACAGATGAGCAGCTGGACAGACGAGCAGCTGGACAGACAAAGGAGTGGAGAACAGTTAGCATAGGAGAATGAATGGGGACTGTTAGTGGCGAATGAACAATAATGTGTAATAGCACACCATGTGATTGGTGAGCTATTGGAGGCTCAGGGTCTTTTTTGTGGACAGAATGTAGATGTTCTGCAAAGCGGTCACTCAGTCTACGCTTCATTTCCCCAATGTAGAAGAGATCACATTATGAGCAGTGAATACAGTAGACTAGATTCAATGAAGCGCAGGTAAAACACTGCTTCACCTGGAAGGTGTTTGGGCCCTGGGATACTTAGGAGGGAGGAAGTAAATGGGCAGGTATTATACCTTCTGCAGTTGCAGGGGAAGGGTCTGTGGGGCTGTGGAGTCTGTTAGGAGTGAAGGATGGGTGTCCCTGAGGGAATGGTCCTTGCAAAAGGCTGATAAGGGAGGGGAGGGGGAAGGGGAATACGTGCCTGGTGGTAGCACCCTGCTGGAGGTGGCTGAAATGGTGGCTAATGATCCACTGACTGTGGATACTGGTAGGATGGAAGGTGACGACAGATGGAAGGGAGACCCTACCTCTGTAGTGGGAGGGAAGAGAGAAGATGAGGGCTAAAGTGCAGGAGATGGTGGACCTGGTTGAGGACCCTGTCAATTATGGTGCTGGGAAATCTGCAGTTGAGGAAGGTGAACATTTCAGAGGCTTCCTTGTCAAAGCTGGCATCATCAGAACAGATGCAACAGGGACGGAGGAACTGGGAAAATGGAATAGAGTCTTTACAGGAAGTAGGGTGAGGATGTACAGTTAAGGTAACTGTGGGAGTCAGTTGGTTTGTAGTGGATATTGGTGGCCAGCCTATCCGCAGAATGGAAACTGAGATGTTGAGGAAGGGAAGAGTCTGAGATGGACCAGGTGAAGGTGAGGGCCGGTGTGGAAATTGGAAGCAAAATTGATAAAAGCTTGCCAACTGCGGACGAGAGGGGGAAGCAGCACCAAAGACATCATTGGTATACCAGAGAAAGTAACCTGCAAAGAGACAGGCATAAATGGGGCCCATGCAAGTACCCATCACCATCTCCTTGACCTGAAGAAAATGAGAGGGGTTAAAAGAGAAGTTGAGGACGAGTTCGGTTAGGTGGAGGAGGATGGTGGTGGTGGAAGGTTCAGGCTTTTTCCCCAGGAATAAGCAGAGAGCCCTGAAACAATCCTGACGGGTGATGAACATGGATTGTACCATGGTAAAGAGGGAGCAGTCAGAGCTGGCAAACTGGGAATTCTGAAACTGATGTAAAGTGTCAGAAGAATTGTAGATGTAATGGGAAGGGACTGAACAAGGGGAAAGAAAAGCATTTCTAAAAGACTGGCATTTCCAACTTCTCTTTCATGATTTGCAAATGCTGTGTTGCATAAATAATTTAAATAAGAGCAATTTGCTCAGAATTTATCAAACATTCTGAAATTCAGGTCATTTTAGTTAAGTTCACAAATTTTTTGTGCAATATTGAAAACGTCAGCAACTTTTCTTTTTATACATCTTATTTCCATTCAAGAACCCACACACAAAGCATTCAGGCTCAAAGAGTAAGCCATAATGAAGAATGCTCACCTTTATACATATAACTAAACAGATAAATTAGGCACCTATTTTTGCATTTTAAATGTCTGAGCAAGGCTCTCAGCTACAGTCTTTTAGAAATACTGGATTAGCCTTGTGAGGAACAGCCTTCAATTCAGGACCAGCAGCATGTGAGTGGAACATTAACACTGGTTGGTAACATCCAGGGAATATTGAAAATCAAAAACACAGATTCAAGACATATTTTCTTGGTGTTCGGGCTATTCAACACTCTTGTCAAATTCTATTGACTCCAATTTTATAGTATGGTTCAAAACAAAAACATTAATGTTCTGATACCATTACTCTATGATGAAAGTGGAGAGAAGGGTGAGTCCACAGATGGGATTTGCATTTAGTTACTACTACAACTGAGGCAAAAGACCAGAAATCATCAGTTCCAAGTTTTTTTTTTATAAACATGGCCAAAAGTAGAAAATAACTAGGTAAGACAAGGGAAAATTAGATCTGCTTTTGCACCCAATTTAAGTGATGAGCAGTTATAGAGGCAGGTCTGATCTGTGGCAATACTAGGTCCCCAAGCATATTAAAAAATCCAACCAAATTGAAAACAAATAAACCACCTGCTGTAGGTGTGACCATTAAATAATTACAATAAGTCTCAAGTTGTATTCATAATAACAGTTTCCAAACCAATGGACTGCAATCATTGCTTTAATCAAACATTGGGTTCAATTTTTACTAGCAAAGTGTTAAGTCTACAAGAATAATGAATACAGATTTAAAGATGACTACTGAGCAATGACATTCTAAGAGGAACAAAAAAATTAGTTTAGATTTTTCTTCATTGCAAATCTGCATGACCGCTACATTTTCCCCAAATGTTCACATTTAACAATCAATCCCTATGTATACTATAAAAATAGTAATTTGCTTTAAAAAATTTACTTAGAATTGAATTAAATACTTCTTTTGAGGAGCTCTTCAGACTGTTGATTATTGTCCTCATCACGACGTAGGTCTCTGATCTAATAATTGCTCAGGGGCAAAAAATAACTGCTCAATGTTTTCCTAAAAGTTTTAAAACAGTATCTGCTTAGTTCTGTGACTCGGCCTTTTGCAAGTGTGAATAATTTTATGGGGTTAGTTTAAGATGTATACAGAGAAACATATATAACCAAATCTAAGGAAATGCAATTATGTAAAATATTGCACACAGTGGAAGAACCAAAAACTAAAGATGGGAGAAAATATTTAATTAGTCAGAAATATAATTTGAAAGGTGGAGCTGAAAGCTTGTATAAAATTTGGAATAGAATGCCTACTAATGCTGCATTCAAATCAGTTTTTTTAAAAGAAAGCAACATTAAGTTGAATGTAGTGTTAGAACAGGGCATGGCATGGATATTAAAATCAAATGATAAAGCAGAGAATTAAATTTTTCAATGCAGCAAAGTAGTTTAACAACCAAAGTTGTTCAACAACCAAAGTTACATTTTAAGGTGCTTATAGGACTTTGTTGCACACCTGAGACCCACATTTTTAGACTGGCCAGTAATATATAGCAATAAGTGATATTTTTATAGCACACCCAGTTTCAAACCTGTCACTTTGCTTATATAAGATTTCCATTCACTGTACATTACAGGAAAACTAAGCAAATTATTTCAGCCACTCATTGCTTTGGTTTGCTGGGTAATAATAGTTTTATAAATTTGCACAATCTTCCACCCTTAATCATTTCGCTGGGGTGTGTTATAAATATATGCTTTTCTAATCTGCCAATATAAAATACTGAGGAGCAACTGAGTGAAAAAATTCATAATTGCTGCACCCTTAGTATACAGTGTGCAACTGCAAACAAAAAGGGAGAAACCAGTGTACAGTACTAGTACTGTATAAATAACACAGCTACACATTTCAGCATAATTAAGACTACACACATACAACTCACTTTATGCCAGTACTTAAGCTTGTCTGGAAAAAGTACATTTGGCTAAAATACTTGCACACTTACAATCATACTCACTCACAGTACCTGAAGGCTCTATAAGGTAGATTGCTAAAACAGTTTAACTACCTCTTTATTTATATATATATATCTATATAAAATATATATATAAATAAAATCAAAAAAGCACACATGCCAAAAGATCACATCCACTGTAATCCTGCAGCAACACCTGGAATGATCACACAAAAACCAGGGAATGTTAGTGCACACACGAATTAAGCTGAAAAAAAAATCTTTGGAGTTCCAATCACACTGTTAGTATAACAATCCCATAATTGTTTCAATGTGAAGACTATATAAGCTTTATAAGTCATTGAATCACACAGTGCAAAGGAAGGTCAAATGACTGCATCACATTATGACCCTTAATGTAAAGGGAAGGCTGGAAGCCACAATAGATTAAGTCCAATGAACAGTTCATCTATGCCACAAAGAACACCCAAATTTGTGCTATTTGATTGGTTTCATTCTGAATCACGGTGAACTTCCGAAGCATCAGCTCGACAAATTGGACATGTACGGTTTGCCTGGAGAAAAAGAAAAGCAAAATCATGTTTCATATATCTGCACTATATTTTGAAGAAACTAAAATCTAAGTATGTGCAGGAAAAGTCATAAATCAATCCTGAGATTCCTGGTCCGAAACATAGATATCTCTATGGATTCATCTTAACCGCATATCACTTTACACAAAACATGCAGTGATATTCATGCAGCATGTCTCACATTTTCTCAGAGGGCAGTGAATCTGTGGAACTCTGGAACAGTGTGCAGTGGAGGCAGAATCAAGAAATAAATAAATGTGTGTTTCTGATGAAAAGTGGGATAAAGGGCTATGGGGAGCAGGCAGGAAATTGGAGTTGAGACCAGGATAAGATCAGTCATGATCATATTAAAACAGTGGACAACTCGAAGGGCTGAAGTGCCTACTCCCGCACCCAACTCCTACATTAATGTAGAATGACCCGTATATCTGGAGCAGAATAAGAAATAAACAAGTCAGATTACTAATCATACATTATAGCATTTTATTTTACAAAGCTGAAAGGCACAAATCAGAAATTTAGCACACTGTCCCAAGTCTCCCAAAATATTTGCAATGTGTCCAATGGTGCATTTTGCCTTTATCCTAATTCATTTTTTGTAAAATTCGAGAGCATGAGTTAGCATCTTCAGGTTTAATGCCTGTCAAATTCTTATAGCACAGTTACACAGAACATAACTGTATACCTTGTGTGGTTAAATACACATGGAAGAACTAAAAAAAAAAACTCTTCAAAGCAATTTCTGCAAAAGCAACTGTATATACTAGGATAGAGAAATGAATGGGAAAGGGAGTAAATGTCTTTCACAATTTTTCATATATATTTTTATCACATATTAAGTGTCACAGGAACAGGTACAACAAAGGTAGATGTTTTAGAGTTGATGATGCTTAGAAAGAATTGAAAAAAATTACACCAAGGCATCAAAGTCAAGTCATAAATCTACCATCGCCTAATAATTATTCTATTAAACCTGATTCTATGATATGGCTCTCTCTAACTTTTTGCACACAAATGGATGCACAGCACATATTACTCAGCAATATATAGTAAAGCTAGAGGAGAATTAATGAGTTCTAGATATGTTGTCATGACCTTCAAATAGGATTGCTATATATACTATTTTTCTAGCATGTAAAGTTTCTGCACTTCCTGACTTTTTAAACTTTGTATCCTATTTTGGTAGATCTATATTTTTAGGAGGTCCAGAACACATCAGTAACAGAATCTCCTAGGAAGCATTGGCTAGGTCTGCTGATCATGTGGTATATGTTTTAACTTCTTAATTAGTTATATCAAGGTGAAATTTGATTATAACGACTATTCTGTATATTCACTTGCCATGTATAAAAATAATAAGTTAATGATTTCTATCGGGGCTCCTCTGAATTAAGTTAAAGTTAATCTGTGTGCCTTCCAAACAACTGAAGTAGTAAATACGCAGGCACGTGTGAAAGATATGCAGGTGCGTGAAACTGTTTTGGGCAAAACCACATTGGGATTTTAGTCCCAATAATTTTCTTTTCTATTGACTTCAGTTTTGCTGTGTGTAAAGTGGGCTGCGAGTGTTAACTATTACTCCCTTTTGTGGTACACTTGCAGCTTGGATCACCAAAGATATTATTTTACGGACCCAAGTTATACTGTTAGATGAGAATACAAGCTGGTGCATCCACAGAACCCCAGGCTTCTCCTAAGACCTATCACAACACTGGGGTTCCCCAGATCTATCTGGAGTCCTAAAGGCTCAAACCCTGCCACAATAGCATCACTTACTCATCCAATAAAATATAGTAACCCTGTTCCCTGAATGTTACACAATGCATAGATTGTTGGCTCCTATACAAATCAAATGGATACAAGAAAGTGAATTAATCACATTTGTAACAAAAATGCAAAATTTGATCTCTTCTAAAAAATGAACTAAAGTTTCAGTAGATACTAAACACCCTGACTTTATGAAGTACAGTTAGGTTTATAAAAACTGGAATATACAGATCCATACTCCTAAATAAAACAAATTGAAACTGCTCTCAAGTCCAATATTCTAACATCAACTTTTTCCCAGCTGTTTATTTTAATACATTACCACAAATGCCTGTCAATTAATATTCAGTTTGTTCATCATTCATCAACTGAGACTAAAGATATGAAAGTTGCTGCAGAAATACAATATTTTTCTTGATTGCACAATTTGTGAAATTATACTGCTTGAGCAAAAAAACTTGCAGTGCAATTAGAAACAGTGATGCAATTTTCTTCAATTAAACATTTCTTGCCTCAAACAACAAGTCAAATATCACAAATCAGGCAATGATAAAACAGTGTGCACAGAACTTTGCATAAGATAAGAACATTTCTAGTGTTTAGACATACCGAGATGACATAAAACAGAATGTGTTGATTGAGGATACTGCTTTTTTTGCAAACTCTAACACAAACACTACAACATTTCCAATAAGTTAGGCTGATCTCAGAAGCAAATCAATGACAGTTTTGTCAGTGCAAGCCATAGCAAATAAAGAGAATTGATATTGTGCAAATATTCTCAAATCTTTTGCATTAGAAATGCTAAAAACAAATTATGAAAATATTGAAAGAGAAGGGACAGATGGATATCAGGTCAAAGGGTACAATTATAAATTCATTTTACCTTCAGCCATTTGTCGACACACTTGGCATGAAACTCATGGTTGCAGGGTAAGACTCTAAGTAGTTGCCTTAATTCAAAATCACACATGCACACTACGCATCTGTATAAAATGTAGAAAAAGGGATAATTGCTGATTAAATTTGTAACAGATTATTACATGGTGTGGTATTTTAAACTAAGTGTGGACTACAGTTATTTGGCCAGTGAGGGGATGCTGCTGTGCTCCCCCTGTCTCTCAAGACTTCAGCCTCCACTTTGCTGATTTCAGTGTACTTCTTCCCCTTCAATCTCAGGCCTTCTTCTCTCCCAATTTCAATTTTTCATCAATACTGAGCCCTTATCCTAGGTCTTCTTCCTTCCTGACTGCCTCTTTGTTACACACATACCGTGTTCTGATCTCCTCTACCTTTCCCCAGGTCACAAACCTTTAACCCGTCAGGATCATCTTTTTCTCCTACACAAGCTCTGATCTCTGGCCTTGATTCCTCTGATATTCTTCTTCACCAGCACTCTACCAACCCTGATCTCCAGGCCAGTCCTAATCCTAGTCCGGATTGGCTTCCTTTCTCCATTCCCACAGGCCAAGCCTCCAGGCTTCTTTCCATAGAATGCCTCTGTTTTCCTCACCCTCCCCAAGACTGATCTTCTATCCTCTTGATCATCACTCTTCCCCACTCTTATTGAGCCCCGATCTCTGGTCTTAACACTTCCTGATTGCTGGGAACTGTCCACATGGGTCTCTAGCTGCAGCCTTCTGATGCTTGTAACTTGTATCCGGTGATAGCTGGCCAGCTTGCCAATTTAGTCAGGTGCTGGGTGGGAAATAAGAAAAAAATTACAGTGAGGTCCTGTTATTAAAATTGTTAGGATCTCTACATCTCCCATCTATTATTAACCTCCTTTGCAACTTTCTGATAAATACCTGGACCACACTTTCATCCACATTTAAAAAAAAATAAACAAAACAGCATCAAGGGAATAATGAACTGGAACTGCTGTGCTCCTCCTTCTTACTGGCCAGTATCTATTCAAAAACACCTCTTTATTGAGTTTCTTTATGAATCGCAATGCTCAGACGACAGAAAATAAATAAAACTAGTTGGTTCATGGAGACATGACCTATTACAAGTGAAAGAGTCAGTCATGGGGACTTTATTGATCTTAAGAAAGGATATACCTGTTTTAGACGGAGTTCAGCAAAGACTTACCAGGCTGACTCCTGGGGTGGCAGATTTGTCAAATGAGGAGAGATTTTATCTATTAAGCCTGTACTCACTAGAGTTTTGAAGAATGAGAAGGGATTTCATTGAAATGTATAAAATTCTGACAGAACTGGACAGACAGGATGCAAGAACAATGTGTCTCTTGGCTGGGGGTTCTAGAACAACAGGTCACATTGTCAGTAAACAGTCGACCATTTCTGACCGAGAGGAGGAGAAACTTCTTTACTCAGAAGGTAGTGGATTCTTTATCACATAAGTTGTTGGAGACCAATTCACTGAATATACTCAAGAAATTAGTACATAGATTTATAGACATTAAAGGCTTTAAAGGGGTATGGGGAGGGAGTAGAATATGGTGTCGAAATAAGACGACCAGCCATGATCATCTTGAATGGCTGAGCAGGATCGGTATGCTGAATGGCCTACTCTTGCTCCTATGTTCTATGTTTCCACACATTTTTGCAATACTTTCAAAGGTAAAATGTCGTGAGCATCATATGTGCAATGGCTAAAGTTTACAGTTTCTAAATCAATATACAGTTAATTTGTCTCTCTAGTAAATTTAGAAGGGTTTACTAACATACACAACTGGGACACAAAGTGGCTAGTGTAGAAAATTTATCTTCTAAAATAATTAATTCAGCACTAAAAATGTATCCTTGTCAGGTGAACAGTTAGCATCCAGAAAATTCACGATATAGAGTAACGGGAAGTCAGTGGTAGTAAAAATGCTGATTTTGAATTATCTGGAACGATCTTTCCCATTTGATGCGGTAATTTATGCAACTATCTCTATTTTTATGGTAATTGTGTACATTTAACACAAACACCAACAGTACATGAAAAAAATTGCTCACTTTAAAACATAAGGTGGTTATTTTTGCTGCATTCCAATCTTACAGTAAAATTATAATCAGATATACTTACAAAGTCTGCTCTGACTGGTGGTTGTTAGGGTTAAACCTATAGGATGGAAGTTGTTCAATGTCTGCTTTTGTAAGCCCACGTGGTTTGGCTTCTCCCAGTCGTTCTGCTAGGTTAAGAAGTGCCTATATTCAAAATATGCATCATTTAATGATTTATCACATGCAAATTATTGCCTCATTTCAGCACACAACCTACATTAAGCTGCAAGAGTATTTTGCTTAAAAAGAATTTGTTTAACTGTCTGAAATTTATTTAGATCAATAAAAGTCTGAGATGACTGGAAAATTTAATTACTTTCCATACAGAGGCACGTAAATATATGAAAATTATAAAATAAATCATGGTTAATGCATGTGGTTCATGTATACTTACAACATTTAATTGAAAGAATAAATGTGAGACACTAATGATCCTTTCCACCACATGAAATAAAGCTATGCTTCACCTATATTCCTATAAATGTAGGTCATTGTCACAAAATGCAAGTTTACTAACTCATTTGAAATTTTTACGTAGAATGTAAACAACTGAGAGTGGGGGAACTTAGAACAGTAGGAAAAGGCCATTCTGTGTATCACGTCTATGTTAATAAAGTAATCCAATACATTGCCAAATATACTCTCCATGCAACAAGGTGCAAGGCTGGATGAACACAGCAGGCCAAGCAGCATCAT